TTATATATATATATATATATATATATATATATATATATCTTGTTCAAATTTTCGATCATTAATAAAATACTTTCTATTTATCCATTCAAGTTCAAATACATTTTTTGAAACTTGTAGTGGATGACACTTGATGTTATTACAGTTTTTTCAAGTATTAATTCATTAATTAAATTAAAAAGAATAAATTGTAACAAACAAAAATAACAGTCCAACAGCAAATATTGAAAGTAAAATCGTTCGTTGTATCCCTGAAATGCAATGGATAGCGTGTTGGACTTTTAACCCAAAGGTCGTGGGTTCCAATCCCACCTGGGGTGACCTAACTTCTGAGATTGTGATTTATTTTTTACTATACAATTTTATTAGAAAAATTAAATTTAATTAATATGAATAAATAACAACAAACTAACAAAAACAGTCCAACATATATATATAGATGGTGGCTTTCTATACTGTCACATAATATTGTGATTCTGTCACATGTATAAACATATCTAATTAATTGAAACTATTTAATAAAAAGTAAATAAAATAAAATGTTTTTTTTTTGTTGGCATAAGTAGGAATTGGCTTTAAAATTTTTTATATTACTTGTTGTTGTTTTTTTACATTACAAATTTACATACAATACATTTAATGATTTTTATTATAAAAAAAAGAAATGTTAATGTTATGTTCCGTGAATAGAAAATACATATTCCAAATATTTAGCAACGACTAAAATGTCTGCAGAGATAAATTATTTTCAATTCATAAAATTATATTTTCCAACTCATTCTCTCATACTCAATGACTCTTTAAAAATTCTGAATATTAAAACAACTTATGACCAGTACATATGTTTTCGATCATAAGTGTCAATGCAATAATGCAATAACTCATCGAAATCCAACATTTCACATACGTTAAATAAAGAAATAAAGTAACAGAAGTTCATTAAAAGGTCTGGAATCTAATGTTAACTAATTACCCATAGGCGAACACGGATTCCGTTACCTTCAAAATTTTAAATGAATGTTGTAATGGATAGTTTCACTCGAAATTTTAAAATGTTCTTCAATATTGTAACTTTAATTAGGATATATAGAAATCCTTATTAAATTCGAATACTGAGAAAATATTTTTCGTGTTGTGAAACCTTAATTTATATGAAGCGATATAGATTTTCTTTATTTGTTTTAGTCAAATTTTTTATTAAAAGATTCTAACCCTTATCAGTGATGAGGATGATGTCATATGAAGACAAACTTGGCAGACAAAGGCCGCTACATTTGGTGACAAAAATAAATGAACCTTGGAAATTTCAATAAAAGGGCGAAGCACGATTTTTTTTAAACCATAAACGCTACTATTGGGGTCTTTCCAGCCTGTTTAAGAACAATGCAGAGAAACAACATTACAGTCAAACATTTGACAATGACTGTGCGTTTTATTTGTTTAATGCAAAATTGTAATTATGGATTGAATTGCTATGTTCAATACGTACGTGATTGTTGAATTTCCGATGTTATGGATATATGCATGTTTATTATTTCATGCTCTTGTGATTTCTAGATAGTTCCAAGAATAAACTACAACGTACTGCAAAAGAGAACTACCTGTTAATTCCATTGACCTTTCCCTCACTTGAAAGATAAGAAATCACGCAAAGATATGGAGACCAATGACGATGATTCTTTTTTCAGAGAAAGAATTTCGTTTATCGCCACCGTGGCTCATCAATATTATATATATATGAAATTATATTTACCTGTCTTTTTTAAGAAAATGGTGATTTACATAATAATATCCTCTGTTAAATAACTTAATCACTGGTTAAAACTGTTAAACATATTTTTGAAACAAAGGGTAATTCTTTTCCTTTCAAATCTGGTGATAAAGAGCCTAAACCGACGATAAGAGCTGTTTAATGCTTCATTTAGACGCATTATACAAGAAGGCATTCACATAAAACAAAGGCAGCAGGGATAATATCAAAACGCGCGATCAAAGCATAAGGTAGACAAAAACATTCTTTTCCTCAATCCAAAGCCCTCAGCCTACATTTCTATAAAAAAATTTCGTTGAAGAAGTTAATAACATGATGTTTTCATTTTAGTACGCTAATTGGTCCTGATGTAATATTGCTTCACTTCGCTACAAAAATTTGACTCCAGGGTACACCTTTAAGAAATAATCTTACGGATAAAATTTTACTTCTCGTTAAGAGAGTAAATAAAAAAATTAGACATCTCACGTTATACTGGAAGATCCAGAACTAACTGAAATGAATCAAAGAAAATCCCTTTCAAGAGAACTGAAGTTGAGAACAGTTATACACACACATATATACACTGTAGATATATACTAATGTGACAATTAAATAATAGGATCAGTCTTAAAAATAAGCTTTATTGAAAACAATGTACAAATACCTTTTAATCCCCTTTAATATACTCCCCTTCCCTATCAATACAAAGCAGCATACGAGTTTTTTACCTTTCAAAGCAGTGCTGCGGCTGATTAGGTGTCATAATCTTCAGTAAATGTACCGTTTTTACCTTCACCTCTCCTACAGACGGAAATTTTGTTCCCATCAATGCATTTTTAAATTGAAGAAACAGGTAGAAGTCGTATAGAGCGACATCTGGTGAGTACGGTGGGTGCTTGAGTACAATAATGAGTTCGTCCACCAACAACTGTTTTACAGAGAGCGCAATGTGTTCTGAGGCATTATCTTTGTGCAAAATCTACTTGTTGTTGCACTATAAATCTTGCCTTTTCTTTCTCTAAACTGTTTCAGAACCTTAACCCGTTATCACTCGCGTGAAAAAAATAACCGAAAGTTCTCGCGCAGGGTATCTCATACCCAAGAGTGATTACATACTGTTTTTACCGTAAAACTTGTATACAAAAGTTAAAAAGGAAAGAAAGTAGGAAATATAACACGTTCAGAACATTTTCCCTACATAAATTTAGTTTTCCTGTTCTCTTTAGAAGGGCATTCAGTACATTGTTTATACACTCCTTTAATCTCGTCGTGAGTGAGTGCGATGCTTCCACTGGATCTTAATTTTTTTAAATCTGTATAAAACTAAACATATAGGAGTAAACTTCTCTATTCCTTAAATTACAAAATTTTGTAATTTCTTTTTTACTTTCTGATATTGTTCCAGTGATATTTCTTTCTTTCTTTTTTTTCAAATGTTCATCTAAAAGTGGATAAGATTGTACCAATTGTCTCCTTTAAAATTACGTTCTTCCCAAATGTTTTTGTGTTTCAACATATAAAATATTTATTTTCAACAGTGTCTCCCTCTTATAAATCTGGATAGATTTCAATGGAGGAATCATACTTGCTGTTACACTCTTCATCATTCGATTCTTCCTCATCATAACCGTGAAGAGACTTTCTTCATCCGAAAATATACTGTTGTACTATATCTATTAAATTACTTAAGTATCACATTTCTTCATCATAACTACAATAATACGTCATAGCATAAGGAAGATTTAATACGTGCTCATACATTCACTACTGTAACGGTGATTCCCGCGTAGAGTACGACATACCCGAAGAGGCGGTATCCAAAAATATGTATTTAGAATTCGCCTACAAGCTAAGGCCCCTCATAGGATATGACATTAAAATCAGCTACTCGAATAACCATTTTCCATAAAAGATTTAGAAGGAGCGTTGAAAAAAGCCAAACGGCGGGTGTGACATACCCCGCGCGAGAAGTGGCGGGTTAATTTAGTACTACTGTTTTACCGTTTGGCCTCAAGGTACCCATTTAGTCATGAGGATGCCATTAACATCCAACAGAAACGATGGACATCATCTGTTCTTGATGTCCCAGATCCAGAAGAACGATCATCACCTTCAGCAACCTCCCGATCTTCCGAAAATCATTGGTGCCATTCAAAAATTTGACTACGTTACGTGAAATTATCTCTCCAAACACTCCTTTAACAATTAAAAACATTCAGTTGGATTTTATTTTTTAATTTCAGGAGGAATTTCAAATGTATGCGCAGTTCTATTTTTACGTTTATCATGAACGCGGCACTTCGACACAACGTTTTTTTTACAAACAAGGATAAAAAACAAACTGAACTAGATAGAGTGATGAAATAACGTGCCACCAGCACCAGAAAGCTCAAGGTCAACTATAGTCCAGTCCTATTCTTTCACTAGGGAGTGCGCAATCCGGGAATTCGTCGCACCCTGTGTATGTGTACGTTTCTAAAATGAGTGTGTGGAGGAGCAAAGGAATGTGGTACACATCAGCGACGAATTGATATTATATTAAAAATACAAGAATATTAAGTGAAAATGTGAATCAATAAAATATTTAACCAAGGTGAGTCAAAGGAATAATTTTTGTATTCGCCTTGAATAAAATGATTTTTAAAATGATCTATGAAATTGAATTTCATAGGCAATTTTATTATCCAATTAAAATATCGAGCTCTGAAAGGCATTTTTTTTTCTTTTATTAAATATACTTTTTGCTTCAAGCAAAACGCCATAGCTCTCCAAAAATTATCCTAGATGTAATAGAAAAGTCAATGTAGATTTAATAGACTCAACACAATAAAGAGAGTTTTTTGACCTTATGCGACTAATGGAATTTTAGGGATGAAAAAAAATATATATGTTAGACATCCTTGAAGGCTATCAAAAAGTCATTTTAAACCTAGGTCTGGTTCAAACACTTCGCTCCCCATCAACCCCAGGATTCGAATAATAAAGACTGTCACACTGCACGTGCCCTGCATTCACAAGCTTTTTCCCCCTTCTCCCTAGCCGACCCCCTTTGATTGGTAACTAGTCTTTTCTTGGCATCCGACAAAAGGATGGTGCGACCGCCCATTGTCAGCAAGACGCTCAAAAACCGATAATTCGAACCCCGATGCTGTTGATAAGTCACGACAATTCTAAGAGGGGAAAAAAACACTTATTTGTCACCTTCGTTAAGATGCCTTTGGTGTGAATCAATGAAAAATCTGATATATTTCAGTTACCAAAAAAAATTTTGTAAGATTTACAGCTCATTTTTCTTGCACGTATAGTTTAATATACTTAAAAATAAGAGTAGAACGATTGGATGTGGATCATATATTAACTCGGGACGCTATAAGCTGCCCCAAAACGTGTTTTTTCCCTTATTTACTGTTCAAAATAATAAGTAATATAATAAATCATAAACTTTTTGACAGGTTATACAGGTACTTCGATTAAAGTAATATTTATTTATATACACTCATGGACAGAAAAATTAGCGCACCAAGAAGGAGTGTTCCAAATTAAACTAAATTTTACGTACGTAATGAC